CCATGGCGGCCTGGGCCGCGCTGCTCCGCTCCGTGGGAGAGCCTTGGCTTGTGCCTTGTTGGGCTTGAGTGCATCCTCGCCGAGGGGCTCCTCGCTGAGGTCTCCGCTTAAAGGCTTGGCATATGAACATACGTCTGCATACATGACCACGTGTGTACGTACATATAAGTACGTATTTCCATGCAAGCTCATGAATTTCAACTAGGTGTTTTAAGACCCGTGTTTGAGGGGCTATTGAAAGCCCTGTCAATACCACCGGCCTCTTTTGCAAATCACTTCAACCTCAGCTCAGTTGAAGGTCCCTTCTTTTTTCCACAGTTTCCCTATGGACTGTAGATTTTGAATTACATTAGTAGCTGAAATCTAGCTTTCAAAGGATTACTTTTTCTATGCTTAATTTACACTGTGTTATTAAGAAGGTTATTACTATCTGTTCAGACTTTCCTTGTGATTACTACTTTCTGTCTTTGGTCTTAAAACATACTTCCAGGTGATAACAGGTAGGAGTTTGTGATGCCTTATTTGACTAGTGAAGAGATGCAAGACAGTGGATGGAAAGGAAGGTTGGACATGGTTAGTGAGCTGAAAAAAGTCCTGATATAGATGCGAACCAGGACTAGTCCTAGTCCTAGTCCTGACATGTGGTTCTGGCAGCTTAAGTGATTTAGTGCTGAGGCTCCTATATCACCAAATTAAAACTGTATAATATGCTGAGTTGGAAGGGACCCAGAAGGGTCATTGAGATCAACTCCTGACTTCACAGGACACCCTGAGAATCACACTATGTGCCTTAGAGTCTGGGATTAGGAAGTAGTAAGTGTGTTTTAAGTGATGTAGTCTGTTCGTGTTTCTTTAAAACAATACAAGAAGCTTTCCAGATAATTTTTATTGCATTCCACAGAGAAATGCTTTTAAGGGAGTACTTAAAGGATGATGATTACAGAAAATTGCATGCTTGTCTCAATGTCTTGACCAATATGGACATACTCCTTAGCAGCATATTGTTTCTACGGACTTAAAATAATTAGCACCCCAAGAAATAAGTCTCAATTGAAATTAGTAATGAATCTTTTTTTTTGGTTAAATTTTTAATTTGCTTTTCTTGCATTCAGCGTTTTGGTTTCTTTTCTGTCTCTAGTAGATGCTTGAGAATACAAAAGGTGCTGTTAGAGGAAGCGTGATTCGTCCTTGAGAGCTGGCACTCTTTCTATCCTTTCATTTTGATATTATGTATTTAATACACGTGTTTTATTGGCTGAGATATAGAATAGTTTATTAGGGATAAATTTAAAAAGCCACAAATTATGTTCACTATCCCAGAGGAGAATTTGGCCAATTTTTAAAGCACTTTATATGGGTCACAGCTTATTAAAAAAAGCTATTTTAGGTGCTGTGTGGATTTTTTTATCTTTAAACCAGGTTGCCCTAATTACTGTGTTGGACTGCTTGAATATAGTAGGAAAAAACAACTGTGATTTTGCAAGTGGTTTTTGTACACTTTTTTGTATTTTTTGGAGTATGACACTATATAAAAACTGAAGTTCTGAGACAAGATGGGCCTATCGGCAACTGTTTTAATATGAAATGAACAATCTTCCACCTCCTGTGATGTGAATTTTCAATTGGCAGGCCATGAGATTTAAACTTACAACATTTTACTTTTTCAGTAATGCATATTCCATAGTGTGTTATTTAAGGCCATGAGGAAGAAATTCTGTAAGTGGGGTATTAAAGCTATTTCAGGACTCTGAAAATCTTCATTGTTTTATGTATCTTATTGGAGGAAGACTAAAAATGAAACAATTGAAGAGCAACTTGGCATGTGAGTTGACATTTAGTATAAATTATAGGTAGAATTAAGACTTCTAGGCAGAAAGTCAAAGATTTTTGAGAGTATTTGTAGTTGAGAGGAGATTGGAGAGAGCTGTGTGTTATTTCTTTATCTGCAAGGAAGTCAGCTGCACCCTCAGGTGCCAATGCATAGCAATTTCCTTTCAACACAGGTTTAAGATGTAAGATGCAGTCCCTTTCCCCTTCAACAGTGGGTGTGCTCTGATCCTCAGCCAGGATTACAGGTCTAGTTTTCTTTGCTTTGTACTCCCTAAACATACACAAACAATAAAATCCGTGTTGATTTAAGAAAAGCTTATGAGTGAACTCCTTACTAAAACATACTTAGAATCAAAAGTATGGCGGAAAACATTTGAAACGTGTTGAAGAATAAAGGGGAAAAGTTGTGGCTATCCCAGTGTTCCTGTTTGGTTTCACTGGGAGGTGCCTTCACATTTTAAAGAAAATTTATTTTTGTAGCACAGAAATGCTTCTGACAACTCTCAGTAATATGATTGCCACATTCCTTAAATCTGGCCAAATTAGAAGTTGCTAAATCTATTTTGGCTTGGATATTGTATCAAACAGTCAAATAAAACTGTTCTTTAATAGGATTTTCAGCCTTATTCTGGGATTATGGTTCTGCCTTGCTTTTGAGAGCAATATTTTAACATAAATAGTGTCTCTTAACAGCCTGATATGCTCTTCCCCCACCCTCCCCATTCATTGTATTTTTTCGAAGTTCTGTCTTCAAATTTTCTTGCTCTGCTTTCAAATACTTCAGGTTATATTGTATTTTTAAACTTTGTGCACTGTCCTTTTTGATTGTTCTGACATTAATGTGACAGACTTCACTAGATCTTTAATTTGGACTCATAGTTGCCTTTGTAATTCTGATTGGTATTGCTTTGCTGACTGTTGGTTTTCATATCCAGGCAGAGAAGGTTAGTACAGTTTTTAGTCTTAAAAGCTTGTGATGATTTCAGGAAGAAGTTAAGTGCAGAGAGGTCTGAGTAGACAAATCTGATTGAATCAGATCCTTCCAAGTAGCTAGTGGTCCTGAAGCTACTCCTTTCACCTCATCAGCTTTACTAATTGCCATGCTGTTTTGCAAAACAGTAAGAATGAAGAATTGCATGCTGCATTCTCTAGTTGGTGTAGGAGACAGCTTGAAGCAGTTAAATATGTTTGTTGGAAAAATGTGAGGAAGAAGCAGGAAGCTCAGAGTTGTTTACAGCCTAAAAGAGTGATCCCTGCTGGGTTCAGGATCCTACTTTGCCTCTCTGTCAGGAGGTAGGATTTTTCTTGCCAATGTAACTACTTACATAAGTAAGGGCTCCTTAGGACAGTGCTTTCTGTCAAGCATCTGGCTTGTTCGCACCAGTTTCTGAGTGCATGGCCATCCCTTCTGCATGCCTGCTGCTGGTTGATAATAGTCAGCTGCAGTGTAACTGTAGAGCGCTAATTCCTGCAGACACTGCTGTTATAAAGCAGTTTCACTTATCTGACTTTTGAATATGGCTTAACAAAGCCCTTTTTTCTTTTTTTTTCCGAGAAGGTTGTGAAAGAGTCAAGAATTTTGTATCTTAGTTTCTCAGTTTTCTAGTCTAAGAAAGACCAATGGAGGTAACAACTGATTTTAGTGACATTGGATGTCTTAATGGCGGTGTTAAAAGTTTTGGCAGAAAATTGTGTATTTATGTTGCTTTATCTTCCCTAGGTAAATCATGAAAAAAAATCAGGACTAGAAATTGAAATAAAATCTGTGAGAAGAGTTTAACATTTGCTACTCTAGTTGCATAAAAGCATATAAAGTCAAGTGTATGCAGTGTTCTAGACTTTTCAGGTTAAGAAATGTTTCATTAGAGTAATTTCAAATGGTCATTTAAATGAACTGCAAATATTTTTACATTAATATTTCAACTTCAATGAACTCTTCCAACTGGATAGGATGAAACTTGTTTCAAAATTATGTTACATTTTCATTAAAGAATATTAATAAAACAAGTCTTGAATTTTGTATGACAAATGTAGCACTGAACTATGCTTGCGTTCCAGGGATTGCTTTTGTTTGTACTAACCCAGGATACACCTGAATTTTCAGTGGTGGCTTATAACTGCTCATGCTTAATGGTATCTTTCATTTGGTGTGATATACATTGTTTAGTTTTTCTGTTTTATGCATTCTTATGTATTCTTTGGATTTCAGTCATTAAATTACCCTCTTGAGGTCTTACAATGCTGTTGTTTCCTGTTTTGAGGAAGAAGAATTTCTGTTTATGGAATTTATTCTAGAATTAGATCCAGGTTTCGTACTTTGTAGCTTATATGCCAAGTGATTTCTCATATTCTGCTATATGAGAATAATAATATAAGAGAGAAACTGTTCGTGGCTATAATTTGGATTCCCTTCTACATTCACTAGAAACATAACCAGTTTATTTGGTTGCAAATTACATTGTTATTTTTTTTTTATTAGAAATGGATGATGAGGACTGTGAAAGAAGAAGAATGGAATGTTTAGATGAAATGTCCAATCTTGAAAAGCAATTTACAGACCTTAAAGATCAGTAAGTATTTTAATGTTTCAAATGCCTCATTTGAGGATCCTTTCCATGAAAATATTGTGTGCAGCTGGTGTTTCTTGTCTTTCATATATGTGGATGCTACTTTTGGAGAAGAGTAAGGACTGCAAAATCTGAAGTTACTTGCAGGCAGTTGCTCTAGAATGCTTCTACATGTATTCATGTATTTTTTGTTTCACTATAAGGATGGTTTTGAAATGTTGTTCCTGTGAAGGGCTAATCTGGTTCTGTTGCATCAAACTCCCTAGTAGAACCAAGGAATTCAGGGAAATTTGAGATTTTGTTTAATTACTTATTCATTTAATATCATTGTCATACTTTTATATATGTGGGACAGACCTAGGTGCATTGTCTTTGCTAAGTAAGAAATTAGGTTGGGCTTTTTTTTTAGCAGTATTTTTTTATATTTGGTACTAATGAAAGTTTCTTGTAATTACTGAAAATCTGGTACCAGATTTCAGTAAGATCTCTTACTTAAGAGATAAACTTAATAGCCACAGTTATTTAAAAGTGATTGTTATTTGTATTACAGCCTGTCATTTGTATCATAGAATCATTAAGGTTGGAAAGGACCTCTAAGATCATGAAGTCCAGCCATTTACCTAACAGTGCCATGTCCACTATTAAACCATGTCTCTAAGCACCACATTTGTGCATATTTTTTAACACTTTCAGGGATTCCATCATTTCTTTGGGCAGCCTGCTCCAATGCTTGAACACTCTTTCAGCAAAGAATTTTTTTCTAATATCCAGTCTAAGCCTCCCCTGGTGTAACCGTTTCCTCTAGTTCTGCCTCTTGTTACCAGGTAGAACAGGCTGACCCTCACCTCATTACAAACTTCTTTCAGGTCACTGTAGAGAGCAGTAAAATCTCCCTTGAGCCTCCTTTTCCCCAGGCTAAACCCCAGCTCCCTCAGTACTGCTCACAGGACTTGTGCTCCAAGCCCTTCACCAGCTTCATTGTCTTTCTTTGGACAAGCTCCAGCAGTGTATGTGAAGTTAATTTGTTTTAACTGCAAGTTAGATATGTCTGTTCAAGTTTAAATTAGTGATGTTTTGGTAGCTAACTTAATAAGGTACTTGGCAAGTAAAACTTGAGAAGACCTGGTCTGTTCTTGGGCATATGCTTTAATTGATAACTTAGTCAGTTATTAATATGGTTCAGATGCATATTTATATTGTGGGACACTGTGAGATCTGGAAATAATAGGGTCTGGAAAAAATTGCCCAACAAGAAATTACTTGCTGCAGTGTCTAGAGACTTGTTTGTCCTGCTGTTCTTTGGGCTGAGTCTGGAAAAACTTGGGAAATGCAGCCAACTGATGCTGTTGATGATGATCAGTTGGTACTGATTGGTTTGGCATTTGGAAAACTGTCAGCTTTTGAGTTCAGTGTTACCCTTCCATCTGTTCAGCAGCTTGGATGACTGAAAACAATTTGTGGAAACAGATTTTTAAGGAGAGAATGTGTCAGAGAGTGTTCTTGAGAGGAAGGAACAAATTCTTTAGGGGGCTTAGGGCTTACAAATGGTGTTGGAGAAATGGTAAGGCTGTGGTATATGGAGGAAGGTGTTGTAGAGACACATTGGTTAGTTGAGAGATTGAGGTATTTGTGTGGGCTGGAAGAACAGTGGTGGTGGGAATACCAGAAATGGAGCATTAGAGTCATGGAAGAGGGATTATAGGGAGAAGCAGCTGTGAAGAGAAAGATGATGACATTGGGAAAGTAGGAAAAAAATGCATGAACAATAGGATTTTTATCACAACTAACAGCAGAGATGGTGTAATAGTTGGATCTGCTTCCTCATCGGTTTCAGGGAAACTGAATTTGGACATTTTGAGATAAGTAGCATTTATAGTGGTTTGATAGCATTTATTCATTTTAGAAAAATCACTGTTTGAAAGTACCAGATAAATAGTTGTAGTCCATCAGCTGCTGCATGGTACCAGCTGCTGACAGCACCAGTCCATACTACTTGCTCTTATGTAGCTGGCACTTGGTGCTGTGTAACCAAAAGTTAGTGACTGACTCAGGTGCACTGTGCACCCAGGTTTATGGTCTGGCTAAATAATTCTGCTGTAGCTCTGTGTTAACCACCTTGTGCAGAGTGTGCTCATCAGGGGTTAAGCCCAGCAAACTGGGGTTTGATCAGCTGCATAATGTAATAGCTGTGTAACACTTGATCCTGGTGGCAAGGTGAACAGGCATTTATTTCTCAAAGAGATCTTCATATATCAACATACATGAACTTTATGTTGTCTAATTAATTACTTAACCTATGCAGTTTAAGTAAAAAGCAGCATCCTTGTCCCAAGGACATCTGTTATGTCTATGTAAATAGGTAACAACTGATGTGTTTGTAACACTCATAGAGTTTGTACATGTTTGCTTTAATTTTTCACCTTTTGATTGTGGGGTGCAAAATGAGAACAGGAAAGGTTAGTTATATTGATGATTCTAACATGGGACACTAACAGTTACAAGCAAGTGGAGCTTTATTGAGATTGAAATGTTTATAATTGATATTACATTAAATTCTTCAGAGTGCAAGCAGATTTTTTTCGTTGTCTGCCAGGAAATATCAGCTTTTATGGGATGACTGAATTTCAGGTAAAATAAAAATATTTTAATTACACTTCCTTTTGGCAGGAATGTAATATATCAGAAATTATCTCATGATATCTATAATAGTACACAGGAGCTTAATTGAGGGCTGCTTCATTAAGCACCTGCATCTGTTTTTCCTTGGTGTATGGTAGTATGGGAGCAGATAGGTGAACCCAAATGTGAATGATCATTTCTGTCCACAAACTGTCTTTCTCTCTCATGAAATAACCCAGTTTGTTCTTACAAATTGTACTACCTTTTCATCTCCTCTTCCATGCTGATTCATGTTCTATTATTAACAGATGTGCAATATTTTTTTCTTCCCTAGAGATGGAGATACATTTAATTTTATCCTTTCTGCACTTCTGATTGTTTGCATTTGCTTTTCAGAGTAGACATGGATAGTGTTGTTCAAAAAGAAAATATGTATTGGAAAATTCAAATGAGCAAATCCTCATTTTGCTTCAGTGTTCCACAGCATTAAGAAAGAGATGACAAATAGTTATTTTAAGAATATTACTTGTGACTTGTGTTTTATTTTAAGTAAAATATCTACTTTTATTTCTGTTATTTTAAGACTTTACAAAGAAAGATTAAGCCAAGTGGATGCAAAGCTACAAGAGGTCATAGCTGGAAAAGCACCTGAATATTTAGAACCATTGGCAGCTTTACAAGAAAATATGCAAATCCGAACCAAGGTGGCAGGTAGGCATGTAAAATGAGTATTGCTGTTTCAAAGTAGGAACTTGCTATGCATTTTAAGGTCAATCTACTGTTTTCTTTAGAATTGAAGAAGGATTGTGTTTTAAAGTTAGAAATACTGCAGGAAAATATAGTCTTCCTATAATATTAGCATTTCATATGATTATACAGTTTTTTTTTTTTGTTTCATTTAATACTTGCCTTTGTGTAGCAGAAACAAAATTACTGAGTAAAAACTAAGAATTTTTTTAGTCAGAAGGTTTGGGATCAAGTGTACACAATGGTCCCTTTTGAAGAGATATGTAGGTGCTATGTCATGAAATACTTGCTATCTAATATGCTGGCATTTTTTCCTGCCCTTCTAGTCTGTCTCTCTTCTACTCCTCTGCTCCTATCCTTCTGTTCTGTCTAGGGAAGGAGGAAAAACCTGTTGTCCTTGGTGCTTTTCCCTAAGCTGAATTTTAGTTATTAAAACCAATGTTTATACAGGTTTTTGTGCTCATAGAAGAAGGCAAGAACATTTATCTTCTTGTATACAACTGTATAATCATATGAAATGCTAATATTATAGGAAGACTATATTTTCCTGTTGTAAATTTGTTTCGTTACAACATTTGTTACAGCTTGATTCCACTAGGAGGATTCAGCTGTCTAAGGATTACCTAACACAGGCTGTCAGAGAGCCAAAAGACAGACACCTGTGATCTCTTTAGCCAGAGAAGCTGTACCAGTGTCTTTCCTGAGAAATTTAGGAAAAACATGGTGCAGGCTAACTGAAAAATGCCAAGCCACCTTATACTTTCTGTAATACTAGTGCTGTTTCAGTACTACCCAGTATGTCTTCACTGGTACTTCTGATTTTGAGAATTTGGAATCTTTTGATCCATTGCATTTCTCTCCCTCCAGGTCTTATTTCTAATGCTTTTTCTCAGCTGCTGACCCAGGATTTATGGGTTTAAAGTTCCTAGCCCAAATTTATATGACTAGCCCTAAGTAGCCCACTTAGGCTTTGCAGGAGGATCTCAGTTGAATTTGCAAAAGGTTTGGTATAAAAGCAACCTTAATCCAGGCTTTTAATTTTCAGTTTTAAATGTAGCTGTCCATCAGTGCTTTCATGTAGGTGGGTATGGGATATACAGCATATTACACATTCTCCTGATTGGTCTTGAGCACCATTGAAGAGCCATGTTTCAATGTAAAAAAAACCCCATCTTAAAAACAGCGCTGAGAATATAAAATAGTTTTTTTCCATTTGTCCCCAACTGAATGACCTTGATAAAATTATTCCAGAGAAAGCAAGAGACTGCAGAACTGGCTTATTTGCTCTTACAGTTTAAGAGCCTTGACAGAAGTGGGTAATAGCAGGACTCGAGATCCAGCAGGTAACCTGTAAGGACCTACTGTTACCTGAGAAAGGGGAGGAAGTGGTGACAAAACCCCCAACCTAAAACTATATTTAGCTAAACTTTGGATATAATTGTATCTGTTTTAGAAAAGAAAGTTGTGCTCCTCAGCTCTCTAAGGCTCTATTCACACAAAATGTGAATCTTGACTGTTACAGCAAGTCAGAAAAACAGCTGTTTCTTCTAGAACAGTTCATACCTATATTTTTCAATTTCAAGCAAATAAACAGTGGCCTAAATATGCCAGTCAGCCATAAATATTAAGAAAATAAAAGCCAGCAAAACATAGCAATGTAAGAAAAGAACATTTTGAATTCTAGAATAGCTTCACTGTGGAAACTTGATTGATGCAATACTTGGTTTGTTTTTCAGCGGGATTGCTGGTAGTAGTTTTGTTCCTCTAGTACTGTGTTCATTTCTAGTAAGTTGAATTATAAGGGAAGTTGGTTTTGAAAGTTTTTCAGTTGCAAGACACCACCACTGTGTATGTGAACGTAACTCTTCAAGTTTCTAATCTGAAGCAATATAAATGTTTTCTGTTGAGTGCTTTGAATATATTAAATGGAGTTCTATTGATGGTTGCCAGATATTGAATTTCAGATACCTCTCAGTTTTTTTTCAGCTGCTTAGTGGACACATTTCCAGAAATGTCTAAAAATGCTCCTAATACTTAGAAGTGGTACCCTTTATAACAAGGTGACTGTTTTAAGAATGGAGCAGTTTTGTTAATTAATGTAATTTATTAAGGTCATGCATTATAAAGTAAGTCTTACTCCAAATGTTAATTTGTAAAACCTTTTTATTTCAATTATTTTTCTAGCTGTTTTAAAACCCCAAAACCTTATTTTAAACGCTAATTAGAAAACAGAAGCAGCCATTCAGTGTTTAAATTTGAAAACTGATAATGCTCTGGATAGTTTGATCAGAAATATGAAACAGACATATTTTCTAAAGTTAGTGTGACCACTGGTGTAATTTATTGATTGACAGGAGAGGGAGTTAAAATAACATTCAGTTTTCCTCAGATCTTCAGAATTAAGGATTTACTTGTTCTTATTTTTATTCTTTAAAGCAGCCAGCCACTCTAAGTGCCTAATACAATACATCTGTATTTTCCACTGTGTGCATGTGTTTGGACTTGCAGGCAGTCTTAAAATAGAATTCTGAAGTTGGATATTTGCTAAAGAAAGTAATATTGCTATAATTTGTCTGATTGCAGGTATCTATAGAGAGCTTTGTCTGGAATCTGTGAAGAACAAATATGAATGTGAAATTCAAGCCTCTCGACAGCACTGTGAGGTTGTGCCGGCTGTTTCATTTTGATAGCTAATATCATGTAACTACTGTTTGTCATGCTTTTCCAGTTATTCGCTATTTGAATGCAATTGCTGTGTAATATTTAAGCCCATGCAAGAGGTTATTCAAAGCTAAAAACTATAATCATAGAATGTGCTGAGTTAGAAGGGACCCATCAAGATGATCTAGTCCAATTCCTGGCCCTGTGCAGGACACACAAGAATCAAACCACGTGCCTAGGAGTGCTGTCCAAACATTTCTTGAACTCAGACAAGCTGGGACTACTTTTCTGGGGAGCCTGTTCCAGTGCTCAACCACCCTCTGGGTGAAGAACCTTCTCGTGATACCCAACCTAAACCTCCCCTGGCTCAGCTTCATGGCTTTTCCTCAAATCCTCTCTCTGGTCAAAAGAGTAATGAGATTGGTTTCTGCCCTTCTGCTTGGTATCTATCATTCTGAGGATATTGAAGACCAGCATGAGATCTCCTTTCAGTCCCCTTCAGGCCGAAGAGACCAAGTGACCTCAGCTGCTCCTTATACGGCTTCCCCTCCAGAGCTTTCACCATCCTTCTGGCCCTCCTCTGGACACTCTGTAGTAGCTTAATAGTTTTCTTAACTTGTGGCACCCACCTGGGTTCTCTCAAGCCTCTCATTCCCCAGTCTGTACATCCAGGATTGCCGTGTCCCAGATGCAGAATCCAGCACTTGTTCTTTTTTAACTTCATTTGGTTGGCAATTGCCCAGCCCTGTCATTTGTCAGTCTCTGCAGGGCCTCTCTGACCTTGAGGGAGTCAGCAGTCCCTCCCAGTGTTGGCAAATTTACTTAGTACTCCTTTGAGTCCTGTCTGAGTTGTTAATGAAAATGTTGAAGAGTTTTTATTAGTTTGACTTTACATATCTATCTATCTATCTAACTAGCTAACTAACTAACTATCGCTAAGGCTTCTTATTTTTCATTATCAAGTTCTTATTAATAGATTCCCATGTGATTTTTTTTTACCTTTTTCATAAAAAGGTTACCAAGAAAGTAACCAAAATATCTGACATAATTTTATCAAGAAATGTCTTACACTTTAATAACAAAACCAAAGAAGTCTTTTTGAGATTAGCATTAGACAGCTACTGATAGAGTTGTCATTTCAAAAACAGTTATGAGAAAAATATGTTTCTCTCCTTGAACATAAAGATTCCTGTTCATGTATCTAAATAGTGGATACTGTAGTACAAACGCTCAAGTACATATATATCCAATCCTGAGCACAGCTGCTTAGATCCTGAGGTTTTCATCACAGTTCTCCTCAACCCCCTTACAGTTGCTTAAAGGTGTTCTGGGTGGTTCACCATATTCCTGAATTCCTGGTTCCTACTGTACCAATAAAGCAAGAATGTGCATGTATTTTTGAAAAGGTTTCCATTTTCTTGATGCCTTGGGAAAGAATTAGGTATTATGAAAGATGCCTCATTACTGGCTGCCTTTGCTGCTGTGAATACTCCTGAGGCTGGACAGAATCTTGTAAGACTTGCAAGGTCTCTTATCCATGATTGAATGATTTGCTTTGGCTTTGTATTATTCCTCTTTAAGGTCGTCTTTGTCCCTTGTTTTGCTGTTATGTGAAACATTCGGAATTCACCATCCAATACAAGTCTCTTGGGGGAAAAAGCTCTATTAATAAAGTCAGAAATTCTGTTTGTAGAATTACTGTTGCTCTGGAGTATAACCATTCAGCAAGAATGCCTCTGATGCCTGTAACAGCTTTTCACACCTTATTTGTTACCAGGTATCTGAAGCAGAACACATGTCTAAACACAAACACTATGTAATTTTAAAATGGTCTCAGAACAGATAACACTCAATTGTCACTTCAGATATATGTAAAAAGGCTTCTGCCTTTTAAATTCACCTGGGAAATGTTTTTTTATAATGAGGGGTTGAAAAATATGTGAAAGGAGGTCTTTAGAATTTGAATACTTTGTAACTAGAGGGAATGGTAAGCATGACAATCATTTTGTGGAATAGCGTTCTTTGTCCATTCCAACCAATTTGCTTCACTCCAGCAAACTAGCTTGAACACGGGTAAAGGGAATTTTTTGTTACTGTGCTGTGGGCAAGAGCAGTTGAGGTACAGACATCTGCTCATTTGGCTGTAGGGAACTGCAGCTTCTGACAGAGACATGGGAGCAGATAGCTGGATGCATTGACTTGAGCTGCTTATCCTGTTTTTTCAGTAAGTCCAAGCTCTCTGTTTTCCAGAGTTGCTGAAGACATTGCTCACTGAAAATGAATGTTAAAATCAATCAGCTGTATTTTCTACTCATAGTTTTGGAAATATGCAAGCTTATGAAAGAGCAGTAAAACTATTTCATTAAGGCTTGAAACTCAGCTTAATTCCAGATTACTCTTTTAGAGAATTTAGTGGGTTTTGATGCTAAGAGTAACTGATCTATATAGATACTGTGTAATTTAGTATAGGAGGTAGTTTTATAAAAAAAATTCCCATGAAACTTAGCTTTTGTGATTTGTAATAAAAGGTGGCATAATTTACAATTACCCATTGTGAGTAAATATTTTCTATCCAAAAGAAAAGCACTGTATTTGTGTCAAAATGCAAAGTTATTCTGGAGAGCTAGCTGCATGCTCTTAATTACTCTTGGTACCAGTAGTTGATAAATCTGTAATTATATTTTCACTTGTGTTAAGTAAGCGTGCTGTCTTTAAAGAGCTAGGATCTCATGCTAAGAAAGTGGGTAGAGATGTCATATGCTTTGTGACTTCTGAAAAAGCTGTTCTTGTGTTCCTTCCACTGATACCTTAAATTGTCAATATTTAGATTATTGAACTCAATAATGTAAAAATCTGTAATCTTGCTTTTATAGAGTGAGAAGCTTCTCTTGTATGATACTGTACAAAGTGAACTAGAAGAGAAGATTAGAAGACTTGAAGAAGACAGACATAGCATTGACATTACCTCAGGTAGATGGAAATTCAGTTTTTTAAATTTGTTTTTCATCTTCTGCTGGCTACTGATTAGTTTACTATACACTTAGTACTTCTAGTGAGTTTTAGATTATCTGTTGGAATTTTGTTCAGCTGTAGACTTTGGCCAGGGGTTGAATTTAAACTTCAGCTTCGGTTTAATAGTTGTCAGCATCCCATGTGCCTTTGAGAGTATTAATCTATGTACATAATCTTATAACACCTTTGTTCTGTTTAGAAACAGCATCTTACCAGAAAATATTAATTTTCATTTTTGCACAATGTTTTCTGCTATAAAAAGAGCTAAACATGAAAATGTTTCTGATTCATAGCATATTCTTATTATATCTTTTCAGAATTATGGAATGATGAGCTCCAGTCCAGGAAGAAAAGGAAGGATCCATTTAGCCCAGATAAGAAGAAACCTGTTGTTGTATCAGATATCCTTTTACTGAAATCATTGTTCTTTCTAGTAGTGCTTGCAGTTTTATAGCTAGCTTTATTACATATGTCATTAAGATCAAGTTGAAATGATTATGCATTATCAAAACTTTATTGCATGACAGACATTAGTCTATTCAGATTAGAAAAGCCATGTTTACACATTCATCCCATCATGAATATTGAATTACCTAGCTACTAGTTTTATGTAGAAAATGTTTCTAAAAGTTGTTTTTTCTAGCTCTTAAAGAAAAATAGAATTACAAGGCAAAAGCAGAATCAAATCAGGCCACTTGAACTTTGCCAACTGATCATATAAATAGCATTGGATTCCGTGAATTTTGAGTTACCTTGCCATTTTAGAGTATATTCCAAACCAAAAATACTAATATAGTATTAGGTATAGAATCTCAGCAATTTCAGACAGTTTATAAAGCTAAAAATCCTTTCAGTTGTGAAGTAAATGAATTTGTTCGTTTTGACTGTAGTTTAGAAACAGTTGTGAACTTGTCAGATTTGTGCAAAGCAAATACCTAGAAATTTTACACAGCTTTTGATTTGTTATTTTTAGCTATTCAGAGAAAAACAAATTTGAAAGTATTTTAAGACTTCTAAAATTTGACATGGAATTTAAATTTAAGCTTGCTCTCCATTTTAGATTTTTTTTTTTAACATCCATAGCACCTTTTGCTAAACTTATTTTTCAGAGATGAAATGGGGAGAAATGAAATAGAAAGTGAAGACTATTGTAATGGAATAGCTGTACTATATGGAATTTTGATTTGAAGCTCATGTGCTGTTCTAATACACATTTTTTATTTTGCAGTTGATAGCTTAAGGAAGGGGACTTTGCCTTTCTACCTCCTGTTTTTTTTGGTATTTGATACTCAGTTATGTGGTGCTGACCATACTTTTCTTCTGAAGATACATGATGCAGAATACTGTAAAAATAATGATTTTATTTAAGCTGATACTACTGTAGGTGCTGTTTTGCAGTGGAACATTGAAATTACAATGAATTTTAATTGTAATTTAAATTATTGCAAATAGAAGAGTTTTTGAACTGTTAGGAATGGAATGGTTGTGTCTCAGCTCTTTATCTTACCCTTATGTTGAACTCCAATAGTCTGAATATCTACATACTATTATTACCTCTTAATTCTTAAAATGTACTTCCAGGTTGCATAATTCAAAGATGGATGTGTTTGCACTGAGCTTTTACGTCGTGTTGGTACACTTTTTGTGAAAGATCTTCACAACAGAGCTATTAATATCTTTGAACAAATATCAGTGTATTTTTATTATTTCCTTTTTAAAGAGTTTTCCCTAACATTTCCACGCCCTTATATAGTTTATATGTTACAAGACCTTGATATACTTGAAGACTGGACAACAATAAGAAAGGTAAAATGAAAGGATGAATGCCAGTCCCTGTGGATTTATTTGGGTTCACGTGTAGTCCTTTTGCTACTTAAAAATATGTAACTGGATTTCTTACAGGATCAAAACAGTAAATAGGTTTTTGTTTCTTCAATAGTCAACTAATCCTTTCACTTCAAGCTGTAATTGCTATTTCTTCTTAAACCCTAATCATAGAGGAATCCATTAAAGTGGTGTAAGAAGATATCTGTAAAATGGGAAGTCCATAATTTTCTATGTTAAAGTGAGCCTAAAGCCTGTGTTAAGTGGACCTGCTTTCTCATAGTTTAGCCCAATTGGATAGAAACTATGATAGGATAGTATGATAGGATTTTGCTTTATGAGGTTTTATAACATATCATATGGCATGTTTTCATATAGTAAGGTTTTTAAGATTTCTGTGCTTTGACCTCTCCTGATACTTTTTTTACATAAAAATGAGGAGCTGTGTGTTTCTTAGATTACAAAGAGAATCATGGATAATAGGAAAAGAAATTCGTTTAGTCAGTTGATGTATTTGAAAAAACAAATCCAGCTTTTAATTGCATAATGTCTTTTTAAGATCATTGTAAGACTGTTGAAGGATCTTGGTGTAATGAAATGCTATCCTTGCCTTGTACCTGCGGTCAGAAAGCTTCCCCTAGGATCCTGGTGCATCCCAGCTTAGGGAATAGCAAACCACTTAGGTGAATTCAAAAACTTGGTGGGGAGTTGGCTCTAAGTCAGTTTCTATCCTGTTTTTTATCCCCTGTAGCTATTTCCTAAACAAGAAGTAAAATGTGACCTTTATGTGAGAACTTGTCTGACTTTCCTCTTTCTGCTGCATCAGAGGAACAGACACTAAATATCTTTCCCTCGAGTTCTTTTCTGTAGTTTTACTTAATTTTAAAGAATAGCAATAAATCCAGGACCTACTGGGGTTTTGCCTTTTCTGGAAATTTAAAAATCCCCAAAAAGCAAACAAATGAACCCCTAAAATCTCTCAAATGCTTTTTTTTCTTCAAGATTGTGTGGTCTTGAGCTTGTATGAAATAACATTTCTGAGCTTATATATTAAAAGATTATGTTGTTCATATAGCATTTTGGTTTTCAGAATGAGTTACGTGTAATTTTGTGTTTTCTTGACAGAATTACTTAAGAGCAATTTTGAGGATTTAATTTAGAAAAGCTTGAGTTATTGAAATCAAAACTTAATAAAGAAGGTGATTTTTTACACCCTCAAAATGCTTTTTTATTTAGCTACCGAATCACCATTGAACATTTTTATTTTAGAATTCTCATTGTATTTTTTTGCAAGTAAATGCAAGTATATACTTGCATATAAAAGCAAATACTACTGCATGTTACTCCACAACTAAAGCTGGTGGCTAAGACAAAATGACTCTGTCTGCTGACTAATTTTAATTTTCTTTTGTGTTTCAAGGCAATGGCTACGCTGGGACCACACAGGGTAAAGCCAGAACGTAAGTAAATGTGGTCTAGTTTCACAAGACAGAACTTGTCTTGTCCAATGCTGTGTCCAATGATGCAAACTGCATCCAGGCACATTGTATTTTTTATAGTACTGCTATAAAAAATGAAGTGATGGAGGATGGGATGCAGTAGCTGGAAGATGTGGCCTTTGTCTTTCCCCTCTCTCAGGTGCTGATACCTATAGCTTGATTGCTGTTGTTTTCTGTTGACACAAATTCTAGAAAGTTATCAACAAAAGTTCAGGCTTCTAGCAGTGGTTTACAGCAATTCATATTAGCAAGCTATGCCAGTGTTTGCACAAGATTAAGCAGAAAACAGAGCATCTGGACCTTACAGAGGCATTTCAAAGGATGCTCACATTGGCCACAAGCCACAACCCTGAAAAAGCAGAGCTGTGGGAAAGGAGTGGTACTCATTGGGCACTGAAGCGAGAAGCATGTTCTTCCTAAGTAAAATCACATATTTGGAGGTGAGGAGGAAAAGGGACAAGGGGGCATGTAGGGGATAGCTTCTATTTGAAAATGAAAATATAACTTTTAATTATCTGACTGGAAATAAAAAGATATATTGCTTCCAATTTTTGTGCAATTATTAAAAGACAGACTACTGTTGGAAAAATATGTATTCTCTGTAAATAACTTGATGAAAGCGTATATAACCACACAACTGATTTCTGTGAAGTCAATATTCTTTTACCACTTTAATAATTATTAGAATAATTATTTGAAGTCTATTCTTCTAACAATTTTGTTACTTAATTTAGCACCTGTCAAATTAGAAAAGCATCTACATAGTGCTAGATCTGAAGAAGGAAGACTCTATTATGATGGCGAGTGGTATGGACGAGGCCAGACGATATGCATTGATAAGAAAGATGAATGTCCTACAAGGTAAAGATTATTTAGTTTATGCAGCTCTGTACATTCATGTTAAGCAATAACTAGGATGATGGCATTGCCAAGTAAGGCCTATGTGGAAATAACTGCCACCTCGGACATTTACTAGTATACCTTGCAAGACAGGCATTACCAAAGGTGCATGCTGACTTGTGAAAGAGGCTAGTAAAAGCTGGAATTGACTGAGGGTAGTCAAGTTAGGATCTTTCTAACAATTTAAGCTGTTACTAGTTTTTGATAGCTTTTGAGTATTTTTTTTTGGTAATTTGAGTAATTTTATCTTGAGTGTTTGTTACTTTGCGAATTTGATCTGTTGGTCCACCCAAAAATACTTAATTATGGGAAAACACTTTATGCTGTTGAAGATAAGCTTTGTTTTCCATTGATTAGTGCTCTGAAAGAAGAGAGGAACTTTTCTATAGTATTTTCTTCTCTTAAGAAAAGTTCTACCTTGGAATAATCAAAATATTAGAGTGTAAATTTGGTCGAATGTTTAAGATCTATAAATGTATTTTCTCTGTATGGATAATATTTGTAAAATCTAAAAGTCTGAGTGTATTTAAAATTAAATGTATATCTTAACTTCTACTGAATGGGACAAATAAGTCTAAGCCCAGTGTTGATTAAATATGTACATACACTCAGAAAAACTGATTTTAATTTCATATGTCAGTAGTTTACTGTAGAACTGGCTGTTTCTCTTCTTCCTTGTATATGGTGAGGAGGAACAAATTTAGGTGATTTTAGTGTTTGTTCAGGGCTGAAACAGGAAGGTATTTTAGTAAACTACAAACAGTCTGAAATTAAAAAAAACCCCTCTGGATTAATTTAGCAGAACACAGCAGTTGTACTGGGCCAAGTAAAGACCTTAGTATACAGTGTCTGACAGAAGCCAGAAACTGATGCTTAACAGGGCAATCATGCAGTGGAGCTCTCCTGGGTTTTCAAGACCCCCCCTCAACTTTTTTAAGACTTAGAGGAAGTTAAACTCAGTATGCAATAGACCTTTGTTCTAATAACTGCTTTAATGTTTGGTTTTGTGCTTTCTATTTTCCCCGTCAATCTACTTGAAATGATATTTTTTCTGTGGGGTGTGGGGAGGGAGTTTTGTTCACAATTTGTGTTAAAGGTTACCACAAGGAGCATAAAAGCAGGGCTTATTTAGCAGTGAATCAGTAAATCAGTTTTCAGTTTATTTCTTGTGGCCTTGGTATAATGAGTTAAGAGTTGAATACCTTTTTTGCCTTAAATCATGGCTTCAGGTTGTTCAATTTTTTTTCAAGTACTTCGTATTCAATGCAATTTCAAGGCTTTTCTTGTTTTTTTACTGCGGGTAGTTTATTGTTGTGTTTTCCCTGTGTGATTGTTCTTTTAAACAATTAAAGTATTTGTACCTGTTAGGGTTTTCTTGTAAGAGAATAAAATGGGTGGCTGAAACATTAGCTATCTTCACTAAAGACACATGTAGTTGGAAGGAATTCTGTTAAAACCCTACTCTTAGAGTGGTGCTAGTATCTTTTGGACCTAGCCTTTACAACTAATGCATATTTTCATTTTCTGTGTGGAAATACAGCTGCAGTTTTGAGGTTATTTTTAGCTTATAAGCTTTCTAAATCCTTCTTGTTTTTCTTCTCCTGACCCTTCTTCCCTCATTTTCTGTAGTGCCATAATTACAACAATTAACCATGATGAAGTTTGGTTTAAAAGACCGGATGGAAGCAAGTCTAAGCTGTATATTTCTCAGCTACAGAAAGGAAAATATTCAATAAAGCATAACCACAACTGACCACTGCTCCCTGGATATGAAACTATGGTATTGCCATGCGTGATGTGCCATGGGGTGAAAATTGTATTTAATGGTGTTTTGTATTCTTTATGTATTTACAGCAGTATCTAATGTGTGTTGGTCGTGCTGTATGTAAGCTTCATATGGGCGGCCTTCAGAAACCTGAGGAGGGTAAATCCTGTTAACAGACATTTTGCCTCTAAATTGGGTCCAGTGCCTAAGATATGAAGTATGCTCTTCAAGTATAATGCTTCAAAACTTAGCATATTTGTAAAATGAAGAAAAAAATAATTATTTTCCCGTTGGTGACCAGTTGGTGTGAAAAAAATAACCATAATTACCAGCAACTCACTTTATTTTCAGTGGCTGTGTCATGCTTCACTTGTGAATGTAAATTTAGCCTGCTCAGCTGTTGCTTTTGAATAGATTGTAACATGCATAAGCATTCTTTTATCCAAAGTGTACTGATTTATTTAAATTATTGTCCTCAACAGCTCTACTAGTACCGACTGTGTTATATTTTGTAAGGTTTACTATGTTGCTTGTAATGAGACAAGGCCTATATTTTGAACTATGTTTTTGAAGAGCACTTTTCTAGTGTAGGACCCTATTCATTAGCAGACAAATCATTGGTGATGTTTTTTCTTGATTGCCAGCAAAATGTATGCATAAGGTAGACAGTGTTGCTCCAACCTGTGTTATACGTAGCCCACAAAGAACGACTGGGGGGATGGTTAAATGCTCTTGCATGGCCTGCATGTCTGGTCCACAGTTGTATGAAGTACGATGGGTTTTTGTTAGGAAAGGAAAATATTTCCCCAGAAGTCATATATCTGGGAGAATTTACACTGAGTTTTTCATCAAACTATTTTCACAATTTCTGTTCCCTGTTTTATCTGATTGTACACCGGAAGTATTTCATGCAGCTTAGGAAGCTGAGTGTCTTCTAAAGTCTTGCTCTTTTAGCCACAGAGAAAAGTCCTAAATCCTTGATGTGATGTGCTTGGAGCATCTAGAATGATAGATGGGATTGTTGAAGAATTGTTAACGCCTTGGTTATGTGCACTTTAATCTCCACTTACGATGATTTCTTCTTGGAGAAAGTAAAGCATCCATTTGCTTTAAACGATCACAACAAATATTTTTATTGTAACATATAAATTAATCATCTCTTCTAGTGCAGGGTGGTAAGTTCTTTCCAAATGCCAAATCAGTTTCTGCTGAGTAATGCTTTTCTACAATTGTATGACATTATAAATCAAATGTACATAAAGTATCAATTGACGTGTTGGCTTTTAACATGAATATGAACTGTATGTATACAGTTGTTTGATAAACTTTTTGTAATTAAATATTTGCATTTTTTAACTTAGTATATAAATAAATGATCTGTGGTAGTGGACATCTTTTATGTTTTGTTCTTTGGTTTTCTAGTCTTGTTGGAATTGCTGATCTACCAAATGGCAAAGGGAAATATTTTTAAATAATCCAAAGGCCTAAAGGCTTTTTTAAAAATCTTTTGACTTGCACTTTTTTCTTTTGATTTTTGACAGTCTGTATGTATAGATGTTGTTTGTTTTTACAAGCTTTTACAAAAGTCTTTATGGAAGCTTTATTCTGTTACATTTATAAATCAAACAAACACTGTTAAGAATCTCATAACTGTTGACATGCCTTGAAATCATTTGTATTTAGGCCACGCTGGGTACTCTAAACAGTTTTTGTGATTCACCCCTTTCCTCATACCTCTTTTGTAGTTTGCATCTCTTTAGCTGCAATTGATTATTCCTGCAGCTTTTTCTGATCTGATCTTCTACAAAGCAAAACTTTGCTTCATAGAGCCTTGCAGTTTGGACTGACACTTTGTGAATGTGGCTCCTTAATTCAGAATAAACGTAATTCATATCAACATGAGAGGTAATAATCGTAGCAGTATGGATTAGTGATGAGACAACTGGAATCTACTCGTTGCATTACAAGAAGGACAGGAAACTGAGCTGTGGATTTTGTTTTTGACATGTCACCATTTCTGCATATGTGATGGGAGAGCTGTGAGGTTGGTTTTTGTTTATAACTGGTTAATTGTTTCATGCTTAGGTGAATCATGTTTGTACATGCTTTGTATCTTTTTAATAATTCAACACTTAATGTTTTGCTTGAGGCAACATAAAATATAAGAGGTGTCTTCCACAGATTTTAGTCCTTTGAAGTAGAGACATTGGTAGCCTCTTGTCCATCTGTTTTGTCTTTTACACCACTACATTAAAACTTTTCAAGCTTTGGTAGCATTGTTTTAACCTACAACTGGGATTTAGATATGTAAGGTGCTGGAAGGAATTCTGTAATATGTGAAAAGGTAAGTAAGTGAAGAACAAGAGTACAAGAACAAGAGTGACAAAAATAACTTTCTGTACATATGTAGAAAAGGCTTCTCTATCAATAGTTACATTTCAGAGGAGATGTAGTTGAGCTTTTACCAAACACAGAGCAAATTGATCTGCTCATCTTTCCCACAATGAGGTATCTGATATATTTAGTTAGAATGCAATTGATTTAACCTGATGATACTTACTGTGTAAGTATAATGTGGAGTTTAACTTAGGAATTTCATAATAAACAGGTCTTAAACTTTCCAAATGCATTTGAATTTCGGCACCTTGTTGTAGTGTGTTTGTTTTTAAACCGTAAAAACGGGATATTTATAGGCCACGAACATCTTACTCTATTTGTAAACCAAAGCCTGTGTAAGTAGCTCACCACCCCCATCAAGTGGTAAGAGATGATTAAGTACTGAAATTTTCAGTCATTTTGAAAATCTGTGCTACTTTCCAACAATAGGTTCAATTTGTTCTGTGTGAGGGTTTTTTTGGTTTTGTTCTTTTTTTTTTTAAGTAGAAAGAAAAATATAGGCATAGACTTTTATCAGAAGGGAGACGTACTAATACAGCTTCCCATCTCCTGGAGAAATTCAATTATTACTGTGGGAAAGAACAGCCCTTTTACCCCTCTCCCCCTTTTTTAGAGAACAAGGGAGAGAGATAAGGAGAAAGAAACCATGTGTCCAATAGATTGCATTTAAATAGCTAAAATTTTTAGTGCTTTAATCCATGTGAGGCTTTGAGCAGCCTTCTAGTGGAACGTGTTCTTGCCCATGGCAGAGGGGATGGAACTTGGATGCTTTAAGGTCCATTTCAAACCAGATCTATCTATCTATCTATCTATCTATCTATCTATCTATCTATCTGTCTATCTATCTATCTAATCAGTGATAAGGGATTGACAGATGACAGACCTGTCCACATAGCCTTTTACATGTGGCAAAGTAAGCTCCATTCTGAGGGCTTGTGATCATTCCAAAGAAAGTTCTTAACTATGCTGTTCCCAGGCAGAGGCATGGTTGCTGCTGGGATTAAGACCAGGTAGCCAGTATATTACCTCTGGAATGGAATTTGCCATCCACAATTGAAGCAAAAGCACAGCATGTTATCTGTAAACTTGACATTTCCTGAAAATGCCAGCCTAAATGCACTTGTATGGCATTATGTATGCTTTTGTTTCTCTGCATGGAAAATGGTCCTGATGGATCAGACGTGATGTCCACCATTTAAGACTCATTACTGTTTTTTTTTCTGAAACTACCAGCCTGGAAAGCTGAAAATCGATATTTTGAGCTGACTCCTATTTCAGTGTACTGGCAGCCCTACAGACGTCACTTCTAGAAATTTAACTTTCCCAGAGGTTGCATGAAAGATTTGAAGGCTGAAAATAATCTGACAGATTCACTAACAGGCAGAGTACCTGAGGTTAGGTGTGCTGAATGCAGTGTTGAAAGGAAAAAATTCCTGCTGCAGTACAAAGACTGGGTAGGTAAATGGAATAAATGGACAAATGAAGTGTGTATTAAGCACTAGCATCTAAAAAATTTGATGAGTAATTTAGCCCTAGTTACCCTAGGCACTGGTTTGAGACAGCATCCATTTCTGATAGGAGAAAATACTGCATGGTTTAGTGAGTTAAGGTTATTTCAGATGGTGATAGCTTCAAAACAGAACTTGTAGGTAAACTTTGATATGTGTAAGCTTTACAAGTGCCCATGTTGCTCTTTGTTTGGTTTCTCTGTATGAAAGAATATAAATGTATAAGACTCAGGCCATTTAATAAGGCAGTAATCTCCAAGTTTTCCTAGAACAGATATTTTAACCACAGACATTATATGTTTTGTAAGATTTGACTTGCTAGATTTTGTTAAAAATCTGGCTTAAATTTTAGAACATGGTAGTTTCTTTGAAAAATAGAAGAATACAGAAAGAACACTGTTCAAGAGGTGGTTAGCAGCAGTAGAATTTTTGTCCTTTATGGTGTCAGTTCAGAAGGAAAATCTTCATACATCACAACTGTCTTCACAAATAGAAGCTGTAGGAATAGGACAACGGAAATTATTAGTGGCATTAATTTCATTATTTCATTAATTCATCATTTAATATGTCATTAAACAGGTCAACATTAATGGGTTCTCCTTTTCCTATAAGTAAAATACATCTGAATCAATTGGCCAGAGTTGGAACATGAAATCTGCTTTCCCTTCATCCCCCTGCTCCCGAGATCCACGATGGTGAAAGCTTGCCTGCAGGTGGCAGTAAATTTATGCTGAAGCTACTTGATGGTAGTTTCGAATTTTCTGTCTAGATCCTGTTAGATTTTTTTCACAGTTTCTCTTAGTTATAGTACACCTACAACTGGATTTAATCCTAATGCATATTAATTAAAGGATATTTGGAAAGAACAGTACTCAGAGCTCTAAAGGAGGATTATCTTTTGCTACTATACTGTGAAAGAAAATCACTATGTAAAGGCTTAGGAAGGAACAGAAATGGATTAGATTCTGTCCAGTTGCCATAGAAACAAAATATGTAATTAAACAAAATGAAACATATCTCTTACACTGATTAAAGTATTTAGAAAAGGTGGGACAATGGAATGAGTGTTTTAACCTGCAACACCAACACCAAACCCAGAAAAAAATAGGGGGTTCAGGTTTATTTTTCTAATGCAGTTTTCACTTACTGCACTTTTTATGCTTGGTTAACTAAAACCAAAAATGTTTTGCTTCCTAGGGTGAATCTATAAAAAGGAATGTCAATCATAATCAGCAATAAGTAATGCAATGCAAATTTTACATCAATACTGTTGCAGATTAATAACATTAATATTATGTGATACTAATAATACAATTAAATGAATCTTAAGCACATGCCTTTTTTGGAAAAAAACTAAACAGTATGAACAGTTTAATAACACTTTAAAATAATTTTTAACAGATCACTTCAATGTGTCTTATTCTATGAGATTATGCAAACAGTTTCTTACCCTTGCTTTATAGCTAATAAAGACAATTTCTTAACAAATAATGTGTGTCAAAAGAGCTTCCTTTTAACCAGATATTAAGTGCTGTGAGTTTAAGATGTTTCAGAGCTCGCAGTTAATGCCAGGTGCCAGGAGAGGGCACTTTGAGGTTTCTCTTGAAACACTATTTACTTTTAAAAGAAGTTTAACTCGTGTTCTCAGACTTTTCTTTCTCATTCTTCTGCCATAAAATTTCACGACTTGAAGTTCAGAAATGTAGCAGTTATTGTTAGCTTAACTCTGAAGGTGACTACATTCTGCTATTTATAAATTGAGGAGACTTATTTCCATGGTAAATCTCTTATTTAGCACATCTCAGTGTGTGGCCCTGGGAGGTGGATGGAAATTGGTTGGCTTTGTATTTCACGCTACCACCACAACCCTTCAAAAAAACCCAAAGAATTACGGCATACAGTTCTTATCTTTATTTCCTTCAGAGTGAAGAAAAACTCAAAAAAATCCTGCCCTCAGTTCAGTGTGTGACTTCAGGTTCAGGTGCTTGTGGCAAAACATGGCTAAAATATCAGAATCCATTTTATACAGATAATGTTGACCTTGGAAGTACTTTATGTGGCACGTCTGCATTTGCTTGCCAGGCTTCTATGTGGAATGAATAATTTCTTGCAGTCCTGCTGAGGGACTTGATTTAACACACATTCCTAGGGCTCTGCACCTTGAAGTGGAAACAAACGGGAGGAAACACTGGAAGGACACAGCCAGCTCTGTTGCAGAGGCAATGTCCAACATCCTTCCTCACTCAAAACCAAAAGGGAAATTGAGAAAAGGGAGAAAAACACTGAATTCTTAAGATTTTCTGGGGTAGGAATTTGAGATCTGCCTGCCTTTTATTCCTCAAGCAACCAGTTGCCTCATCCTAAAGTGTGTGTGTTACTATGTTTGTCTATATTTACACTGATTTCTAAAGCATCTGAAGCATTAGTCCAGCTAACAAACCCTATCAGTGTAAGTATCTTTAAAAAAAAAATCCTCCCAAACTCT